GTGTCCTGCCCAAGTTCCTGGTCAGGAGCCTCTGAGTGTTGAAGAAAGATTTTATTTCACCACTAAGTTTTGGGGTAAATTGTTACACAGTAATAGTAACTGGAGCATTCAGCCAGTTCCAGTCTTCCTACTGTGCAGTTATTCATTCATTTATCCACTGAACAATATCCAGAAACCATCCACCTCTTGCCCCTTCCTTTCTCCCACATAGTCATCTCAGTGGCCTCCCTCATGCCCCAAAGTCTGTTCTCCTCACGTAGTCAGAAGGATCCTGTTAAAACCTACATCAGGGCTGGGTATGGTGGCTCATGCTTGTAATCCTAGCCCTTGGGGAGGCCAAGATGGGAGGATTATTTGAGTCCAGGCGTTCAACACCAGCCTGGGCAGCATAGCGAGTCCTCATCTCTCCCAAAAATTTAAGAAGCAGTCAAGCATGGTTGTCCTCACCTGCAGTCTCAGCTGCTTGGGAGGCTGAGGTGAGAGGATTGCCTAAGCCTGGGAAATGGAGGTTGCAGTGAGCTATGTTTGTGCTACTGTACTCCAGCCTGGGCGACAGAGCAAGACCCTGCCTCAAAAAAAAAGAAAAACTATACCAGATCACATCACCCGCAGGGTAGAACCCCCAGCCCCCCTCACTCAGAATCACAAGGGGGCCGCCATGCTTGCCCCCTTTCTGCCCCTTCCTCAGGCGTCGTTCTACCTCAGGACAGTCATGCTTTCTGTTCCCTGTGCCTAGGATGCTCCTCTCCTAAATATACACAAGGCATGTCCCCTCCCCTTCTGCGGGGATCTGCCCAGTTGTCATCTCTCAGAGAGGCCTTTGCTGCCCACCCTATTTAAGGTTACACCCCCTTGGCCAGGCATGGTGGCTAATACCTGTAATCCCAGCACTTTGGGAGGCTGAAGTGGGCAGATCACGAGGTCAGGAGATCGAGGTCAACTGACCAACACGATGAATCCCCATCTCTACTAAAAATACAAACATGAGCTGGGCGTAGTGGCGCACACCTGTAGTCCCAGCTACTTGGAAGGCTGAGGCAGGAGAATCACTTAAACCTGGGAGGCAGAGGTTGCAATGAGCTGAGATCGTGCCATTGCACTCCAACTTGGGTGACAGAGTGAGACTCCATCTCAAATAAATAAATAGTTACATCCCCTAGCGCTCCAGCCTTCCTCCTTAGGACTTGATCTCCTTGGGACACATTGCCTCATACGCCATGTAATGTATTTTGGTGTCTGATCCATGAAGGCGTGTTTCTCCTGATCCCCAGCACTGAGAATAGGGCCAGCAGCATAGTAGGTGCTCAGGAAAGTTCGGTTGACTACCTGGAAGAATTAGCACCTTGGCTGTGCCAGAAGCTGGGGCTGCGGTGGGGAGCAACCAAGAGACCCCTGCCCATGGGAGCTTCTGGTGGACGCAGGAGCCTCTACAAAATAAAAACCCAGGCCTCACGCCTGTGATCCCTGCACTTTGAGAGATCAAGGTGGGCTGATCCCTTGAGGTCAGGAGTTCCAGATCAGCCTGGCTAACATGGTGAAACCCTGTCTCTACTAAAAAAAAAAAAAATACAAAAATGAGTCAGGTGTGGTGGCGGGTGCCTGTAATCCCAGCTACTCAGGAGGCTGAGGCAGGAGAATCACTTGTACCAGGGAGGCAGAGGTTTCAGTGAGCTGAGATTGTGCCACTACCTTCCAGTCCGGATGACAGATTGAGATTCTGTCTCAAAAAACAACAAGAAAAACACCTCAGGCCAGAGAGTAGAGGAATCACAAGTTGTGGTAAGTGCTCTAAAGAGAGCAGCATTGGGATGGAGGGTGGGAGTGACAGAGCAGGGCCTGCTTCAGGGACAGAGGGCCAGGGAAGATGCCGTCTTCACCTCCCAGACTCTACCCAGCCCAGTCTGCAAGGCCGTGCCCAGGGAAGAGTCTGTTTTCCTTGGCAGATGAGGAAACCGAGGCCCAAGTCACAGCCAGAGTGGCCGAGTCAGGCCCAGAATTTGTGATTCCCACACCCACGTTCCTTCCGCTTTTTCACAACTGCTCTTATCAGTTGTCAAAGAAGGATGGGGCCCCCGACAGAAGCTCTGTCCACATGCAGAGAGAGACACGAAGTCTACTGTCTGGGGAGCTGCTGCGTGCAGGAGAGGGAGAACAAACCTCTGACTTCCTGCCGCCTCCTATGCTGCAGCCTCCCAGCCTGAAGCCAGAGAGCTGGGGTGTGCCGACCACGCTGTCCACAGAGCTTAGCCTCCCAGGGTGCCGAGCAGAGCTGGGGGAGCAACAGAGCAGGAGGGAACTTTCCTGGGGTTTTTCAATCATAGCACTGCCCAGAGAATACAGTGGCCAGCTCCTCCTTGGTGTCCGTGGAGGGTGGCCGGGGCAGGGCATCAGTGATGGATGCCTCTGAGCCATGTAGACCCAGGACATGGCACAGCCCTGCCGAGCCCGGCTTCCCTCACTCTGCTGAACTCAAAGGACCTTAACAGAACCTCCATTTCTTTCTTTGTCTAATGATTTCTTTGTGCCAAGGCCTGGAGACATAAGCCTGTCTCTGTCCTCAGGGAGCTGACCCCCTAGTAGGGAAGAATTGGACAATAAATAAGATAAATTGCAGACTGTAGTGGTGATCACAGGAGAGATAAAACCGGTGATAAAATGCGGCGAGTGCTGGATTGGGGGCCCACTTTAAATAGGGTGGTCAGGGCAGGCCTCCCTGAGGTGATGAGGTTTGCTCCTCTGACAGAAGAGAAAGAACCAGGAGTACAAAGGAGGAGGGTTTTGTTTTGGTTTTTTGAGAGAGGCTCGCTCTGTCACCCAGGCTGGAGTGCAATGGCACAATCTCTGCTCACTGCAACCTCCGCCTCCCAGGTTCAAGTGATTCTCCTCCCTCAGCCTCCCGAGTAGCTGGGATTACAAGCATGTGCCACCACGCTTGCTAATTTGTGTATTTTTATAGAGATGGGGTTTCACCACATTGGTCAGGCTGGTCTTGAACTCCCGATCTCATGTGATCCACCTGCCTCAGCCTCCCAAAGTGCTGGAATTACAGGTGCGAGCTACTGCACCCGGCCAGGAGTTACTTTTAAAAGAGCAAGTGCAAAGACCCAGGGGCAGAGAGAAGCTTGATTTGTCCAATCAACAGAAAGAAGCCAGTGGGGATGGAAAGGAGAGGTTGGAGAGAAGTGGTCAGAGGCCAGATCTCACACACCCAGGCAGCCCTGGCGAGAAGTTTGCGTTTTATCCTGTGAGCCATGAGCTGCCGGGGAAGGTGCAGCAGGCGGGCACGGAACTGGCACTAAGGTGAGGCAAGTGCCTGGCACTTGCACAACCTGGTGGCGAGCATCCCCTTCAGTTTGCGCCTGCAAGGGGCGCTGTGCCCTCTCCTGCCCAGTGCTGTGGCCTGATCTGCACTTTAGGAAGATCCCTCTGGCTGCCCTGGGAAGAATGGAAGATGAGGGCAGGGAAGAGGGAGGCAGGAGACCCCTCAGGCCGCCTTGTAGTCCCTAGGAGAGACGAGGCAGGCAGCAATCCCCCTGCCAAACGTGGAGCCCTCGCTGAGTCCCTGAATTGTGACTTCAAGCTGATAACCAGGTTCTCCCATGGAGGGCAAGGACAAACAGACCCTCTCAAGGTCACAGCGACACAGCCGCCCCCATGGCACTTGGCTTCCTCCTGGTGCATCTGCAGGCTGTGGCTCTCTGCTCACTCGCTCTCTCGTTTTAAATAAATGATAACAAAAGTCTATATCTGGATAGGACTTGAAGGCTCATTTCCTCAAGAAGTGAAAAAATGACCACAGAGAGCAAAGAGCAGAGTGAGATTAGAGACCTGCTCGAGCCAGAGTCGCCTCCCCGCCTCCCACACCCACATTCTCTTTCGACCTAGTCTGACCTGGGGCCAAGGGGATGACTGAGGGCAAGTGGCCCGTGGCAGGTCTTCCCCTGTCACCTTTTATGCTCAATTTTCTCTTTTGTCATTTTGTTTATTCTGCAACTTAAAACTAATAGGAGGCCGGGTGCGGTGGCTCATGCTGGTAATCCCAGCACTTTGGGAGCCCAAGGCGGTGGATCACCTGAGGTCAGGAGTTTGAGACCAGCCTGGCCAACATGGTGAAACCCTGTCTCTACTAAAAATACAAAAAATTAGCTGGTCATGGTGGCAGGCGCCTGTAATCCAAGCTACCTGGGAGGCTGAGGCCTCCTCCTGGGAGGAATCGAGAGGTGGAGGTTGCAGTGAGCTGAAATTGTGCCATGGCACTCCAGCCTAGGCGACAAGAGCGAAACTCCATCTAAAAAAAAAAAAACTAATAGGAATACCTTTTTGTCCAGTTACAAGATCCCTTAACAAAGGGTTTTCACACACATCCCCAATGGACTGAAATCTTTTAATGGCCCTGTCTTATGACGGCCATTTTATTCATGGGGAAACTGAGGTTCTAAACTGGCTTGCTCACAGAAAAACTGAGCTGGCGAGTGGAGTATCTCGCACTGGAACATGCCAGTTTTCCAGCCCAAAACATCCAACTCTGGGTTCTCATTGAATCCCCTGCTGCTGGGGAGCTGAGTCTTCATCTCCCTCACCTCTCTACCCCATGGGGAGGGCAGATGCAAGAGGACCACAAGTGTTCGCTCCCCGAGCCCAGCCCACCGCTGTCCCTCTCCCTGGGGACGATTTGTCAGTGGAATTTGGGGGGATTATTCAGACACAGGCTGATGATTTGACTCGGGTCTCGGGCTGCCACTGACACATCAGAGGCTCACTGGATCCAGGGAAGAAATTCTTTCTGCAGAAGTGGCCACAGAAGGCTTTTCTGCCAGGCTGTTGAGCAAGCAAATTGTAAAGTTTGCTAACTTCAGCGGCGTTCGGTTTTCACTCTGCCGTAGCCACCCGTTCAAAGAAACTCCCATTGTTCGTGCCAGCCGCCGTACAAATCATTATGCAAGAATGAGCAGCCGGCAGCCTTGACATAAATATTGACCTGATTCTTCCTCCTCCTCTAGATCTGCGAGTAAAGAGGGACAGGGGACAAGAAACAGAGCCACAGACACAACTTCAGACTCCTGCATCCCGAAAGAAGCACCAGATCAGCAAAAAAAAAGAAGATGGGCTCCCCGAGCCTCATGCTGTGCTTGCTGTCTGCAGCCGTGTTCTCCCTGCTGGCTGGAAGCTCAGCCTTCCTGTCGCCCTTCCGCCTGAGCAGCAGTTTTCAGAGGGAACGCAGGAACATCCGCCCCAACATCATCCTGGTGCTGACGGATGACCAGGATGTGGAGCTGGGTAAGCCTCAGGGTCCCAGGGTGGCACCTTGGCCCCACAGTGCAGGGTCCCTGGGCTAGGCTGAGGCTCCTGAGGCAAGGCAGTGGTGGTGACTCATAGAGCTCACCTTTGAGTGCATTGAAACCAAGACATGGGCTACCCACACATGTTTGGGGTCACAACTGGGTCCTCAAGGTTAGGGGTCTCTACCCTTCTCCAGTTGCAGAGCCGTTCCTGGATTTCTCCAAAGAGTTCAAGAAAACAGGCCAGGCGCAGTAGCTCACTCCTGTAATCCCAGCACTTTGGGAGGTCAAGGCTGGCAGATCACCTGAGGTCAGGAGTTCGAGACCAGCCTGGCCAAAATGGCGAAATCCTGTCTCTACTAAAAATACAAAAATGAGCCAGGCATGGTGGTACATGCCTGTAATCCCAGCTACTCAGGAGGCTGAGGCACTAAAATCACTTGAATCTGGGAGAAAGAGGTTGCAGTGAGTGGAGATCATGCTATTACACTCCAGCCTGGGTGACAGAGTGAGACTCTGTCTCAAAAAAAAAAAAAAAATATATGAGACATGCGCCTGGAACCAGATTTTGGAGGCTCTTGTGGGTTGTGGCAAAGACTGCCAATCATTGATCTGGTGAAAAGCAGTCCCTTAGCCTCTGTCCACTCTCTAAAGATAACAGTACATTGTTGGTGGCAACAAATGGAAAGGCTGACTAGGTTAGCCTTGGCAACCTGAATCTGTCTTTTAGCTACCAGGAAAAGGTAATTTACATGAACCAAGTTGTTCCTTGCAGTGCTTTGTATTAATGACCACAAGTATAGATCTTTTTTTTCTTTGGGAGCTTTTCCGCGCAAAAAGAATTTGTAGCCAGGAAGCAATCAGAGCCCAGAGCTTTTATTGACAGTTTGACACATAGGTACCTGTCTCCTGGTAGCATTTAGAATGAGCCGCATTTGATAACCATGGAGAGTCTACAGACTATGGCCAGAGAGGTGTGTTTTGTTTGTTGCAGAATTTTGCAGTGAGATCTTGCAGGTAACACCTGTAGCTCAGAGCTTCTCAGTCTCACATTATGTAGCCCCCACACTGTTTCGGTTGAAGTCATGCCTAGGAATTTCCGATGCCCTGCACGTTCGTTCATTCATCCAGCAGATGTTTATTAAGCATTTGTTCCATTCAGTGTACTGTGTCAGGAGCCAGAGAACTGGGGGGAGGTTCATTCCAGGTGGAGAGAACAGGAAATTCAAAGATACTGAGATAGAAATGAGCTCGGTGGTTTGGAGCAAAAGAAGAAGAAGAAAAAAAAGTGCCAGGGAGCCAGAGTGGAGGGAGCTGGGGCCGTGATGGAGAAAGATGAGGCTGAGGAGTCCACTTGGGCCGGGTCGCACAGGCCTTGCGGCCATGGTGGGGGCTTTGAGTTTGATTCTTAGTGAGGTAGACATGGATGAGGGTGCCTGAAAAAGAGGAAGGCCATCACCTCACTTAGGTTCCAACAGGACCCCAGCTCTTTTGATGAAATGAAATTGCAGGAGGTAAGGGCAGAAACAGGACACCTATTGGGAGGCCAGTGCCGTGATAGGGTGGGGGCGATGCTGGAAGCTGAGACCTGGGCTTCATCATGTGATGAGGTTTGCTCACCTGATGTATGTTTGGGAAGTAAACTGATTGATGGGTTAGGTATGTGGATTAAGGAAAAGAGAAGTTTCAAGGGAAGCTCCTAGATTTGGAGCCCGAATGAGAAGGTGAGTGTCTGAATACCCACTCTTAGGAATAATATATTTTTACTACAGCAATATGATCCAGCCAAGTCTCATGTCTGAATCTGACTAAATTTTGCATCTGTGATTCATGAATAAAACCAACAGTGTATGCAGATAAAGGAATCCAGTGGTGTATGCAGATACAAGGAAAGGAGCCACGGTTATGAAGTAAACACAGGAGATAGGAGAGCAATGAAAGCCATGGCTGGCTTAAGATACAGAGGTTTCTTCTCTCCTTCTGACAGATGGAAAAATTGAGGCAGAGAGAAGCCACCTGTCCAAGTTTCCACAGCTAAAATGTGGTTAAACAAGATTTGAGCTGGGTGCCGTGGCTCACTCCTGAAATCCCAGCACCTTGGGAGCCTGAGGAGGGAGGATTGCTTGAGGCCAGGAGTTCGAGACCACCCTGGGCAACACAGTGAGCCCCCGTCTCAAGAAAAAAATGTAAAAATCAGCCAAGGATGGTGGTTGGCTACAGTAGCAGCTAGCTAATGGGAGGCCGAGGTGGAAGGATCACTTGAGCCCAGGAAGTCAAGGCTGCAGTGAGCCTAGGTCACACCACCGCTCTCTAGCCTGGGCAACAGAGCAAGACCCCATGTCAGAAAAAAAGAGAAAAACAATATTTGAACCCAGAACCCATGCTTTTAACCACTGCTCTATTTAGCCAGACTTCTGGGATGGATATTGAGTTGTTTCCAGATTGGTAGTGTGTATGTTTGTTAGTTTTTCACTGTTACAGATATTGTTGCTGGAAATTTAAACATGCATCTTTGCACAGGCAAGAGAGTGCATCTGAAGGATAAATTCCAGGAGGTAGATGCGGTGGGTTTAGAGCCTCTGGTGTTCAGTGGGCTCTGTCAGCTCTTGCCCAGTAGCATTACACTGTATAGATCAGAGCCTGCAAGTCTTGACCTCTACAAACAAGCCAGACCTCTTCCACCAGCAGCACTGGGTTTTAAAGGAGGCTGAGCTTCCTCCAGGAGGTGAGGGCTGGGAAGGTGGTCATGGGAGGGGGATGACAGGCTTTTTATAAACCACTAGACAGACCCAGATCAATAATGCATGTCCCAAAAAAGCCCAATACATTATCTCACAGTCTGCTACAACTGGCACACAGCGGGTGGTCCTAAAAAATTTATCATTTGCTATTTTCTGCTCATCCGCACAGCAGTTCTGACAGTCCTCTGGGCTGGAGACTTCTCGACTGAGATAATCCCAGGATCCTTCTAGTCCCAGGGCAGCAAAGAGCCTTCCATCCTCATTAGGGTCTGGTTGGGAGGACTGGTGCCAGGCGCACAAGACGAGGGGCTTGTTCTGTTTCCTTATTGCAGGCAGGGTTGCAGGGTCAGGGCTGTACCACATATATTCAACTTTCTTTTCCCTGCACGCATCTGACTTCCTGAGGTGTCAAATGCCCAGGGGAACTGCTTCTAGGGCCTACTAGTCTGTGAGTGGCCTCCATTATCAGTACATGTTCAAAGTAGTTGGGGATATCCCTGTGTTTCGATGGCCCTTGGAGACCAGCTGACTTTTGCTGGCCTTCCGCTCCAAAAGAATAAGAGAGGGAGAGGCACGTGGAAGTGGTCTTGTTCACAGATATCCTTCGTTCAGGGGCATTGTAGAATCTGTGGGCTCTGCCAGGGTTTACTGGCTTAATTTGAGCCAACCTCTGGGGAGCCTCTGGGGCTCTGACAGGCTCCGAGACACCAAGAGGATTAAGACATGGTTCAGGCCTGGAGCAGGAGAATTTCTGCAGCATCCCAGTTCTGATCTGTGACTTGAGCATTTCTTTAACTGGGCTTATTTTTGAAGTTTAAATATTATTTTAAAAGGAACCTCTAAATTCTGACTGTAAAGGGAAAACCACTACCCATTGCCTTTGGTAAACGATCACTGCTAAACCAAACACAGTGAAAACCAGTGCTTTTAAATTTCAGCAAGATGCTGCCTCCCACGAAGCCGGTGTGTCTTTGCTGTAATGAAGGTGATGGGCAGTTTCAGAAGAGGTGTTAAAGGTGAAGGAGCGCCTCCCAAGACGTTCTTCTTGACCTGACTAGCAGGATAGAGACTGGAAAAGAGACAAACTTTCTCAAGCTTTCAATGTAGGGTCCCCACTTACATGGACACCACATGGTGGTGGCTCTTGTGTCAGAGGGTTTTAAGGGCACAGCCAGACTCCAAGTCCCAGAATATTTGGGCAGATTCCCCACTGTCCATTTTCCTGAGTGTTCACGCCAGGCAGAGATAGCTTTTAGTGGCCCTTTCCAATATTAGATTTGAGTATGCCCCATGAGACTGGATTCAATGTTTGCATTTCTTTTTTAATTTTCTTATCTTTTTTGTATTTTTTTTTTTTTTTTTTTATTTTTTGAGACAGAGTCTCGCTCTGCTGCCCAGGCTGGAGTGCAGTGGCGCCATCTTGGTTTACTGTAGCATCCACCTCCTGAGTTCACTTGATTCTCCTGCCTCAGCCTCCCAGGTGGCTGGAATTACAGGTGCGCCACCACCACGCCCAGCTAATTTTTTTGTATTTTTTAGTAGAGACAAGGTTTCACCATGTTGGCCAGGCTGGTTTCGAACTCCCAACCTCAGATCATCCACCTGCCTCGGCCTCCCAAAGTGCTGAGCCACTGCACAGCCTGATGTTTGTATTTCAAAAGAATTATTTGCCTTTCAAAACATGTTTATTTTTATTTATTTATATATATTTTTTGAAACAGGGTCTTGCTCTGTCACTCAGGCTGGAGTGATCACTGCTCACTGCAGCCTCAACCTCCTCGGCTTAAGCAATCCTGTCACCTCAGCCCTGAAGTAGGTGGGACTACCAGCGCACACCGTCACACCCAGCTAATTTTTGGGTGTTTTTTTTTTTCTTTTTAAATAATGATGGGGTTTTGCCATGTTGCTCAGGCTGGCCACAAACAACTCAAGCGATCCGTCCCCGTCGGCCTCCTAAAGTGCTGGGATTACAGGTGGAAGCCACTGCACCCAGCCTTTCAGAACCTTTTTAAATGAAAGTGCTTCCAGGTGACTGAGGCAGGAGCATTGCCTGAACCCAGGAGGCGGAGGTTGCGGCGAGCCGAGATCGTGCCATTGCACTCCAGCCTGGGCAACAAGAGCGAAACTCCGTCTCAAAAAAAAAGAAAGAAAGAAAAAGAAAATGCTCCCAGTAAAGAGAGCTGTCTCCTAAGACACTGGATTCAAAGCCTCACTCTACCTCTGAATGTTTGTCCTTGGGAGAGACTTGCCCTCTCTG